TTGCCCTTTGTTCCTCACCTTTTCCAGTTTAAAGAGGGGTGACTTCAACCACCAAAAATTCCCGAGGAGGAGGGTGGGGGGGGGGAATTCTGGGAGGTGAAGTCTACCCATCTTAAAGTGCAAGGTTGAGAAATGCTGTTGTATAGGCTTGGAAGCGGAGCAGGATTCAACTGGGTTGGAACTTGGATGGGAGAACATCCATGAAGTCTATCCACAAAGCTATTGATCAGGAAGTTGAAAAGAAGACATTGGCGATCACTTCCATACTGTTTCCAAGAAAAGGGTATGGCTCTAACCATGTACTCCTCACTCCCTTCCCATGAATCCTGAAGAATGAAATTCAACCTAAGTGTCCTGCTGTTATACTAGAAAATTGCAATGTTCTTGCCTTGATGCATCAGCCTTTCCCCCAGTTCTTTGATCTTTGCTTCCATGGGTGGGAGCGTTCTGCAAGCTGCTTTCCAATGATTTTTGGGTTACGGGGAGAGAGAAGGTGGGCTTATCAGCTGCTGTTTAGCCAGGCACCCAGCCTGGCTGTGCATTGTCTTTCTGCATCTGATCTCACCTCTTGGCCTGGGCCCTGGGCCTCCTTCCTCCCGCTCTCCTTGTAGGCAATTTCCATGAATTGTGTTTGGTATGTATCAAAGGTAGCTGGGTTGGAGGTGGGTGGGGACTGATCAGCAGAGCCTGATGGCTAGATCCAAAGGCCCCTGAAGCTTCATGAAGCGCTCGAAGGTCTCTTGTGTCTCAGCAGCCAAGCAATTTGTGCACAGATCAGCTGAAAATACCTTGTTGGCTTTTGAAAAAGAATCACTGCTACTTCCTAAGAATTTACCACGGGATGGCATGAAGGCCCTGCCCCTTCTCCTTCGGGTCCTTGAAGCCATGCCCTTTTGCAGGGCGTTTCTGAATCAAGCTTCTAACTTGCATCACCTTTAAGAAAGATGCAAATAGCTGAAGGGGTTGATGCCAACTCTCTAAAACATTAGGCAGGGGTGGGAGATGTTGTGTTGGGAAGAAAGCGGCGGGGGGGATGTGCAATTCAATAGCTGTTCGTCAAAGATAGGCTGGTTGGAGAGTCTGATTTTGCAGAAGTGAAAAACATGCTCTTTTTCTTTTAGTCATCGGGAAATGCTGTTTGTCCAGGTAAAGGGCTTGCAAATCACACTGAGGTTTTCAGATGGAGACTCCTCTGCCTTCCAGATGTGTTGAATAACTCTTCTGCTGCCATTCCCAGAAGCACGCTCCGTGCTGTCCTGGGTAGGAGTGATAGGAGGCTGGACATTTGGTCTGGCTGAGGTTGGAGGATCATCACGATTGCCTGCACAGGAAAAGAAAAACACTCCAATTTGGGTCTGGTCCCAGAGATCTGGGAGCCATGATGAAGTGTGGGGCATTTGTCAGCCAGAGTTTCTAAAATGTTTCTGCAGCAGAAGCTGCACGGGGATTGCCGGGTATGGCTCTGAAATGAGGAAGAACCCCCCTAACTGCCTCCATGTTTTGTTCTGCCTGCTCAGCCTGAAGATTGAAGTGTCACTACAAAATGTTGTAGAATGGATTGCCCCATTTGGAGTTTCAACCAGGTAGCCAGTCTGTTTTAAAGCAGTGTTTTTCAACCTTGGCAACTTTAAGAGGTGTGGACTTCAACTCCCAGAATTCCCCAGCCAGCATGCTGGCTGGGGAATTCTGGGAGTTGAAGTCCACACCTCTTAAAGTTGCCAAGGTTGAAAAACACTTTTAAAGGATGTTCCTTTATTGCTTCCATCGAATCAGTTTCTTCGTCCTCCACAAGATACTCCAGATTTAGTCCTTAGATATTTTCCTTCCTTTGTTTTTCTTCCTTTAACCTTCCCCCCCACCCCACACCCTTTCCAAAGATTGAATTGCTTTGGGCAAGCTTTGGGCTGAGTTATCCCTCTTATCTGTGGCTCTATGAAGATTGATCCTTGGAGAAACGAGTTTATTCTTAGTATAGGACAACAGAAGACCACCTCCAGTGGTCTTAACAAAAGCTGAAAATCCTAACAGGTTCTTGTACTCAGACCAAAGGAGCATAGCAAAAATATATACTGTACATATTTTCAACCCCAGTCCTTGGATGGAGAAATATTTGTAGAGGGAAATACTGGTCAACTGGCTAATAATTAAAAAAAAATCTATTATAGGCAACAAAGTGCATTTAAATCAGGAGATGGGAGCTGTTTTTTCTATCGTAAGCCCTATTTGCTTCTATTCATCTGTGGTGGGGGGGATATTGACCTGGGCTGATGACAGCTGTTGGGGGGTCACCTCCCCCTGCAGACTGCTGGAGAGAAAGACAGATGCCCCCTGTCTGGTCATTTGTGGAAGATTTTTGAAATGAAATCAACCTCTCCCCCCCTCCCCCCACCAGAAATGTTTCCAGCAAAATCTCCAATAAGCTGAACCTAGAAGCAACCTGTTGATTTGCTGATCTTTCCTCTCAAAGTAGGGGGGAGACACGATGCCTCGGGGTGGGTGGGATACCCTTCATGCTTCTGAGCGAATAGATGCCTGAACCCAACCCAGCCGCCCGGCTCATTTCGAGCGGGAAGGAGCAAATGGTTTTGCAGGACAACCCCCTGAGCTTTGCCAAGTGGCCCACCTTTCCTTGCCAAGAGAATCCAGCCAGGCACACGCCAGTAAGGCCATCCCAAGAAGGCTCATGATGTAATTGGAGCGTGCTGCTATTGGCTGAGCCAAGATTCTGAGGGCAGGAAGCTGGGTTGCTTAGCAACCCTGTTTTAAGAGCATCTTCCCCCTTTTTCTGGGTACCAAAGAGACCCATTCTGCAGAGATAGACTGAGGAGGTGCTGTCATTCCTAGTTTGCTGGCCTCTTCACCTGTGGGTTGTATTGTGGGCTATAGTTAAAGCACCAAGTTTAACTTTTCCTTTCTCTGCAGCCTTGCTGAAGCTGTTAGGTCGACCCATCAGCCCTCTCCTGGTTTCCTTGGCCTCCTGCCCCCGCTGAACACTGGAACTGCACACAGTGTGCCTGAGTGAAGCTGTAGCTCTCCCACACTCTTTGGG